ACGTAATTTACCGGGGTCAACTACCGAATCGTATTATTTGATATTTTCTAGAAGTTGACACACATTGGGAAGAAGAGGAATATTGAACAAGAATAAATGGTTTAGCGTTAAAAAAGATTTTAATGAACATGCAATATTTTTATAGGAAGGCGAATATTTTACTGGAAAAACCCTTTTTGTTACTGATACTAGAGCTACTATATCTTCTATGCAAAAGCATGGGCGATTGTGAAAATGGCCAGAAACTCCTGAAGTATTACATTACAAATGGGAAAATATACTTTGTATGGGCCTTAATTTCTCGATTAGGAGTCCTCTGGCAATTTCGTATATGCTATGATGTGGAGAATAAAGGGTTAGGTTTAGGTGTAATACACGTGATTAAGCCAAACCAAGATGCAATGCTTTATTGGCTCGTTAGGGAAAAGCCTTGCGAAATAAAAACCCTGGATGATATTAGATTATAACAATGAGAATCCACCACGTGGCGTTCCCACGCGGGAAATTACCGTTAACATGAAATGAATATAAAGGAAAGATCTCATCTTTCGTTACGACTTAAACTCCCTTGACTTAACTATCTCAACTTAACTCCTTTGACTTAGCACTTTGCTTTCTCGTTTCGACTTGGATGTATATTTACAGGCGTCCAGTGGTGAAATAGTAAGAATGTCCTTTTGTACTCGCCCAGCAGGGCGCATACGCTAGGGATGTGAGAAGTGGGGATGCGAGAGGTGAGGGTAACTATAGGAGCGCTTCGATATTCGCCTGTAGTTTTCGATACTCCTAACGAGTATCGATCAAGAATATTATATTAATCGATAGAATCGCACGCGCGCGATTTTCGAATACCGCTAATTACCGTACGATCATTTCGGATCGTACATACTTTTTCATATTAATGAGACTAACAAAACGAGTAAAACGCTATATATTTACTTTATACCTAAATTAAATGTGATATAGAATTATATTAGGACCTCGAATAAGTTCTCGCTGTTTTTTTTACAAAATAAAAACTTTATTTAAAATATAAGGCACAAAAACACTTTATTGAAAGTATTGTCCATCGTTAAAGACAACTTTCTCCCATCTTTCTGGCAGTATATGAGTTCCGCGTTGGAAAAACGACATGTCTTTTAAGGCTATCCAAGAATCGACCCATTTTTTAGCTTCTTCGTAAGAATGAAAAGGCTGGTCAGCTAAGCCATGTGCTATCGAACGGAATAGATGAAAATTAGAAGGGGTTATGTCAGGTGAATACGGCGGGTGGGATAGAATTTCCCATTGAAGCGTTTCCAGATAGGTTTTCACTGGTTTCGCAGCATGAAGCCGGGTGTTGTCATGTAACAAAATCACTTTGTCGTGTCTGTTCTCGTATAGCGGCCGTTTATCTTTTAGGGCTCGACTCAAAAGCATCAATTGAAGTCGATAGCGATCTCCCGTAATAGTCTCATTCGGTTTAAGCAGCTCATAATAAATTACACCCTGCTGATCCCACCAAATATAGAAAGGAAGCTTCGAACCATGGATATTTGGTTTGGCGGACGATGTTGATGCATGGCCAGGCTTACCCCATGATTTTCTACGCTTTGGATTATCATAGTGTATCCATTTTTCATAGCCAGTCACGATACGGTGCAAAAAACCTTTTTTTTCTGCCGTTGAAGCAGAAGTTTACACATGACAAAACGCCGTACGATGTCTCTTAGCTTCAATTCATATGGCACCCAATGTCCTTGCTTCTGGATCATTCCTAACATTTTTAAACGTTTTGAAACAGGTAACTTATCAACTTGTAATGTTTTTCCAAGTTCTGCTAGCGTCTGAGATCGGTTTTCATCGAGTAATTCCTCCAATTCTCTGTCTTGAAATTTTTTTGGTGCGCCAGAACGTTCTTTATCCTCAAGTTCGAAATCATTATTTTTAAAATTATTTCCAAACCAGTCTCTGCATGTCGTATCCGACAGAGCATTGTTACCATAAGTCTCAACAAGAATTGTATGTGCTTCAGCTGCCGATTTCTTTTGAATAAAGTAGTGCAATAATATTCCCCGCTAATACACTTTAGTTGGCACAAAAGTAGACATTTTTAAAACTAATAAAAAATTACTTTGTTTACACTAAAGTGAACTATCATACACTGAAATTTCAGGTTAGATACAGTACTTAGAAAAAGCTATAGAATTTTAAAAACCAATATTCAGGTGCTTCGTTGATCTCCAGCAAGCATTTGACATAGTTAAGTTAGAAACCGTACTATAGCTCTTGAGAGTCAAAGAAGTAAACCGCAAGATCATGCAGACAATAAAAGAACCTATTACCACAAACGCAACATAGGTAGGAACAGGTAATTTGACGACGAAAAAGATTCCAATAACGAGCGGAATCAGACACAGAGACAGTCTAAGTCCGATTCTTTTCAACCTGATAATGGATAAAATAATCAAGGAGATAAAACAACTGGAAAAGAAGTAAAGCGAGGAAAGAAAAATATAAATATATTATGTTACGCTGACGATGCAATCATCATTTTGGACGATAAAGATGATCAAGAAAGGATGTTTTATAGATTTAATAAAACCTCAGGAAAGCCTAATATGACTATTCTGGTATAAAAGATCGGATAACTCACCATCTTAAAAGAGCACGAGCGATTCAAGTTAGCTGTATACAATAAAAGTATCAACAAATTTATGCTATTTAAATACCTAAGAGTGACCATTACGGGCGATGGAAATCTAGAAAAGCAGGTAAGAGACCAAACAACTAAAGCCTTTATAATCTGTTTATATCTTAGAAATATTATATAAAGAAAAAAACATATGAGCATTAAGATTAAGATACAAATACAAAAAACTTGCTTTAAACGGATAATAACAAATGCAGCAGAAACAAGGGCAGAGTCCATGGTAAGAAAGCATATCCTGAGAACTACAGAAATGAAGACGCTACGAGCTATAACAGTTAACTTACCAAGAGACAGTAGAAGAAACAAAGAAATAAGAAAAGAATGTGAGATCCAAAACTTTTTAAAGTGGATAAGAAGAAGAAGAAGAGAATAACGAGATCATGTGAATAAGATTGACGATAAAAGACTTTTGACAAAAAGTTTATTTGAAAAGAAAATGGGAAAAATAGGAAAAATAGGAATAATGAGTCCAGCAGGATGATGACCGAAACGATGTCATAAAAACTGTATATGATGGCGATGACGATGATATTGATGATGATGATGTAGTAAGGGAAGAAGGAAGTAGTATAGAAAATGGCACACAAATTTACCTAATAATAATTATTTTTTTAGTCTCCTTTTTTCAAAAATTAGCTTACTAATGCAAATAATTTAGATCAATTAAGATCGTCTAGGCATTCTATAGCATGAATAGACAATCTATACAATGTTTAGAACTTATAAATTAACTCTAAAATATTCATTATAAATTTTTAAAAATTTGAAAATGATTCTCTTTTGATGAAATAAGTGTCAAAAGCTAGTATTATTCGAAAAAGCGGACAATCCATTTTACTGTTCTGTTCTACTATTCTTCACTTAATCACATTAAAACGTATGTTTACAAATATTTATATATTAAAATTATTTTTAATTTTTTGATAGGAATAAAAAAGTTTTAAATAACTTAAAAAAAATGAAGGTGAGAAAAATATTAAGAATTGTTATATTACCACTTAATATACTCGGTACGACTGTCTTAAAATAATATAAGAGAAGTATGAAAGTCATCGATGGAAACGCTGTCATTATAAATCGATATGAATTTTTGTTATATTTAAGAAAAATTAATCGTTCTTCTTCACTTTTATAATTTTCAACGATGTAATCTGCTTCAGTCTCCTTCAAAAATTGTGACAGAGATCGACTCTTCATTCGACACATGCTAAGTTTTGTCAGTGTCATTACCATTAGCAAATTCTCCATAATATTAGTAAGCACATAACGAAAATTGGTAATATAATCGATTAAATCCAGAAGTCCTAAGAAACTGTAAAGACATCCATATAAGAAAAAGAGTAGGAATAATGAGTCACGAATTTCCAATGGCCAAATTCCAGAAAAGTAGAGCAATCGTCTACTCCACGTAATTGCTTTCACAGTATTCGAGAAATCTATAACCTTGAAAAGAAAATAACAATAAAAGTGATAATGCATAATTAAATATTATTGTACATAGCAGTAGACAAAGAATGTTATATTTTTTTAAAGTTAACTCTAGGCTAAAGGCTCAATATTTCAAGTATCTTAATTGATATATTTTTAAGCAGTATCGTTTTGAATCATTTATAACTATGTTTCCTTGAAATATTAGAACACATCCTTAAGTTTTAGGAACACATTTTTTTATTGTTTTAATTCAGGCATGTCAAACACGCGGAACGCCCATATTTAGGTAACATCCCGCTCAGACTTTTTAAAATTATTTAAAAAAATATCATGCATGCAGATCACACATGTTAGAAGTGAAACCTTAAAAAAAAAGCTTCGAGACAATGAAACAAATGCACAGTATCAGAAGTAGGGTAATTTAAAGTTTATTTATTATAATACTTCTACCACATATAACAAAGGGACCAGGTATGATCTTTCGGTGGGGGTAGATGATAAAAACTACACTTTTCCAAACTGTAGCTATAAAAATGGAATGCTGAATGTGATAACCATAGATAGATACCAAAATCGTTGGATATTTATCGAGGAAAATAAAACCCGTCGTAAACTAAACAAATATAATGTACGATCCGAAAGGATCGTACGGTAATTAGCGGTATTCGAAATTCGCGCGCGTCCGCCCTCACACTACTACGTCACCGATCTCATTATCCGAAAACTCCATGAACAAAACTTTCACGCCGGTATACAGACTACCCTCTATGCCCTTCGACAACGTTTTTGGCTCCTCGACGGCAAGAATCAGGTGCGAAGAATCGTACGTCATTGCGTACGTTGCATCCGATTCCGTGCATCCGGCATCCAGTATAAAATGGGGAGCTTACCAAGCTCGCGTAGTAAGAAAACTAAGGTACAAGAACAGTTAATGACGTTAAAGATGTTATTTAACCGTTTAAGGCGGATTTATGAAAAATGCAATGAAAATTGTCAACTTCAAGGCATGGAATATACACACATTGAAAGTTTAATACC